CGTGCGCCAGCGCCAGTGCCCGGCAGTTTGGACCGTCGAACATGGACTTTAGCCGCTCCACGCAAAATGTGGCTAAGCGTGCTATGCCGTGGATATGCAGCTCCTTGCGCCCCGTCTCCTCGATTTTTGACTCCAGCGAAAATACACGTCCCGCGAAGCAGTGTGGATTCGCCTGGCGTCGGTGACCAGGGAGCCAGCCAAATAGCTCCTTGTTCAACGCCACCTCAACAGCGTGCATGTACGCCTGGAACGCGTACGGGTTGGCCTTGGCACGGCGCCACATGGCAAGGGCGGTCTGCGGATGTGCGGGTCTGCCACCCTCGCCAAACTCCACCACCTCCCCGGCCGCTGTCGCCACCATGTGGCTATGCATGGCGCTAGGGTTGACGTTGTAGAAAAAGGTACCTGGCCCAAGCGCAATGGCCACTGTACGCAACACCTGCTGGGCGGTACTGTAGTAGGGGTCCGTCAGGTCCACCCGAGCTGCGGAGCGGCGAACCGACGTTACGAGCGCTTGCACCATCTCCGACTCGTTCTCAAGTAGGCCCTTGCGCATGGCATGGTTGCGGGGCAACGAGAGCACGTCGGCCATGACTTTGACAACGTCACGTGGGATGCGCCCGGCTTGTTTGACAAGATGCGGGGCCGACCTCGCTGTGATGTAGACGCTGTTGCGAACACGGAGCTTGAAGAGCATGTCGTACAAGCGCGCCAGGAACTGCTGTTGCTGGAATTGGCAGCGCGGCACTCTGGCAACAAGTATGGAGGCGTACTTTTCCAAGGTCATACCCGGCGGCCTGGATCCGCCGCGAAAGTCGGGGAACACAGTGGGGAACGCCATGGCAAGGACCATGGGGTCGTTGTCGTCAAGTGGTTTGGCCTGCCGCCCTCCCGCCATCTGCACAAGGTTTTTTTCGTTCCGCAACATAGCTGCCACAAGCTGCGCGTTGCACGTCGTTGTCCCCGAGCCCGGTACGGCTTCCGGCGGCTGAACAGGCATGATCAGCTCCACCTCGTCCAAGTATTGCTCGCCTTCCTCACAAGCGTCGTCCATAGCTGCAAATCCGTGACTTCTACCGGCTGCGACTGCGTTGCCCGCTCCTTGGCACCCAACTGCGCAGGTGCTAGAGTGGGGCGCCGAGGCGGCTGACGGGCATTCACCTGCCGCTGCTGCCGTCCTTGCCAACTGCGCGCTGACAACGGCGATGGCTGGAGTACCCAGCGCGGGCGTACCTTGGCTTGCAACATGGGTCGCAGGCGGTGCTGCTGCAGATGCTAACGCGGATGCTTCTGCTTGCTGCTGCTGCTGCTGTGTTGTGGTGTTGCCTGTGCGATCACGGTTGAACCGGTTGCGTAGGATGGCCGCTACCTCGGGGTCTTTCGGGGCAAGTGCCTTTGCGAGCAACTCTGCGGGCACCGCGCCGTCCGGGCCGCTGCGAGCAACCCATTCCGCCAAGGACGTTTCGTCCACCAGCAATGCCGCGTCCAAGTGCTGCAGGTACCGAACCCACGGGACTAACACGTGCCCACGGACCTGAACGCATGATGGGTTGGGAAGTAGCTTAGGCGAACAGCATTGCAAGACATTGTGAGGTATTTCACAAGGTGGGGGAGCAGTCGTTTGCCCGCAACAAAAGCTGTGGTCTCCAGACAGGCATGTCAGTCCCGCCATGCGTACCTTGAAGGCCTTTGCGTGCTTTAACTTTTGCACCAACTCCTCCCGCGTCGTGCACAGGTCGACGTGATACACATCAATGAAGCCAGCAAATTCAGCGGCTGTCATGGGGATGGTGTCCCGCAAAAGGGTTGGCCCCGGCGCAGCAAAGAAAATGCCGTGCGCCTTCAGAGCGGCTGGGCGTAACTCTGGCGGGCGATTGGGGGTCTGGACGATGTACAGCTGCTGGTGAGGCATCACCATTCCAAGCAAGGAAGCCTCCGCTGGGTTTGGCATTATCAGGGGGTCGCCTAGGTGGTTGACCGGGGGGACGTCACCGCCATCAATCCGTGCAAGTGCCGCGACGGGAATTTTGCCCCCTGCAGGTCACGAATGGCAATGTGTAATGTCTGAATTGTGCAGCTGCCTGTGAAGGCGGTGCCTTACGCATTACGGGTTTATGATGCATTTTCCTGTCATCTCAAATTGGGCAAGGTTTAGCTAAAGCATTAAGCAGTCTCAAAGCAGTGTATACCCTCCCAGCCACCAATCATGCACACCAACACGTACCTGACAATGCTGTGACGCACTCCTTGCACACGCACAAGAGGTCCTGCCCCGTTGCGGGATTCCGCACGACGGTGCGGTTTGGCAGCTCCAGGTCGTAACGAAGACAGTAGGCAACTTCCACATGCGCGGGATCGTCCTCGCAAGCACGTGGCAAGCGATCCTGTCGCGGTGGGAACGGTATGAGGTCCGCGGGCACTTTGCTGGCATTTTCCGCAGCAGCATCTTCCGCTGCCTCTCGTGCGTATTGTGCTGCCTCTGCTTCATCTCCGGCAGTAACCATGCCCACATGTTCCTGCCGGCGAGAGGCTGGGTCGTCTCCATGGCTATCTGCGTCAATCGCGGGTTCAGCATGTCCATACGCCCCGACGTTCCCGCATGCCGCTGCAGCTGAAGCTTGGTGACCCTGTTCTCGCCTCCCGTTGACTGATGGGCACATGCCCTCAGCCCTGGCCTCCTGTTTACGGCCGCGGGTGGCCCGGTAGTTGAACGGTGGCGCTGGTTCTGGGGGCGCTGGAGGTTTTCCGTCTGGTTGCAGGGGTTCCTTGCGCCAGTACACGATGTTGGCAGGCCGTGGAACTGCGGGCGTGCGCATTACATCGGCTCTCAGTAGTGCCAAATTTGGTACGTCCTCCAACGCCACGTAGCCAGCCTCCACCTCTGAACGCATGCGGCTGCACACAGCGCAGATGCAGCTGGGCATGTACTGGCTGGCCGTTCGATGAAGTTTAGCAGCCAGCTCGATGTGTGCGGTATATGGCATCTGCGGTACATGACTATGCAGGGGAAGGTCTTGTTGCCGCCCATCCGGCAGCGCAGCAAGGTGCTCGTTCCAGGTAAGACCGTTCGCGTCGCCCGGGTTTGGAAACCGCGTGTTCACATGAAAATGTGTGCGCAATGCGTCCATGAAGGAAATGGCCGCTGGCAGAGCTTCGCTGTCGGAACCAGACGAAGAGCAGCTGCTTGAGCTTTCATCAGTGGAGTTGTCTTCCTTCCGGTGTTCTATGTGTCTTCTGCGTTTCTTCCTTTTCAGCGCAGCTTTAGCACGCTGGGCTGCTTGCTGTGAAGGCGTGTCCGCGTACTGCTGCCGACGCAGAGATGCCAGTCGTTCAAGCCGTTCCGGTGACACGTCAGCCCGCGAAGAGCAAGTTGCGTCCCGTCCCTGGGAGTCGTTTGCAGCCATGACTATGGCCTCTACGGCTGTAGCTGCATTGCGTCCGCTACCATGCACCCTACCGGCGGCTTCCATAACTAGCTGCAGGCCTACCCTGGGGAGCCTAGAGGGCGGCGGCTGTATTGCTGCTGGTTGCAAGTCAGAAGTGTTGTTATCAGCTCCCGCTCCGCACGGCTGTGTAGGTAAGGGAATCCGCAGACCTGGAGGGCTCCGGTCATGGATGCCCTCATCAGCGGCCTGGCTGCGACCACGTCGTTGGGGAAGCATCTCTGCCAAACGCAGTGAAGGTGGCTGGGGGCGCAGGTTTCCATGCTGGTTGGGTCCTACTCTGTGGGACAGCGGCTGGATAGGTGTTTGCAAAGACTGGTTTTCTGCATTGGAAGGCCCGCCGGGTGTTGTGCCTCCAAGGAGTCTGAAGGGAAGCAGCCCTCGCAGGCCTCCCAATCGTGATGGAGGGCGGGCGTCCGTCATCCTGGCGGGCAGTATGCACACGACGGTTACTATGTTATTTCGAGTTCATTGTACAATGTTTAAGGTTGTTAGGACACGTCATGGGCCGCAGAGTGAACAACGTATTAGCTAGGTAGTGCCTGTTGTTTAACTAAGTCAATTGCAACTACCGACCTGCAAGCAACTGCAGGTCATCCGCACACTTTACATCTGCTGTCACGAGGTTAATGTTTATGTTTGGAACATATGTGTTGTAGTGTACTGTAGTGCCGGTGCCTGCTTTACAATATGATGGTTTTCCGTTCTGACGTCTGGACAATAGGACCGAAGCTCACACATAGCTGTCAATAAATACCCACTTTTAGTTTCGTCAGCGTGCTTCAGTGCTGTTGTATAAGGGCAAGTAGTAAAATGTCGTACTAAAAGACGTCATGGGGTGTCGTCTTTTGGGGTGGGCCGCATGTTGAGGCTTGCGTTATTTGCGCTAAAAATCGGCACATCCTATAGAGGACGTTAATGGAAATATTGTGGTTTTCCTGAATGAAGGCTTCAAATTACGTAAAGCACTAATGTAATCTTCGGTTGTTCTCTTGCTTTCTATATTTCAGGAGCTCATTGTACCTTTTCTGTTCATGCAGCTTCAACGGCTGGATTCGTGGCCTTTTAGGGACCCTCGGGCACACTTGTCCGTTGCTTCCCAGTGTCCAGATAACGTATAGGCTTGGTTGACGATGCACATGCACTAACATTCGCGTGCGGTAAGCAGTGTCTTCTACTTTGTATCGCGGATTACGATGCCTCTTGCGACATGCGAGGTTGCGCGATTAATCAGACGCTTCTCATCATTGCTCTTACATAGGACCACTGATAGATTTTGATGGTATCACTACATCCTGCTGGTCGAATGGAAGGCGCGGTGTATTAAGTAAGGGAATTATAACAAATTTATGTGTTGCGTGAAATGAGTATGTTGGCGGACAAGACTATGTTCTATACAAGTGCACTAGGAACGGGCACTGCTCGCATGCGTGTTTGTGGTGCGCGAAAGGGCGTACAACGACATTGTCTGTATGTCCTGGCTGTGTGGGTTGATGCGTGCTTAAGGGCGTGCATATTGCGGGCGAGGCTTCACCGGGCAAGGGGGTATGAAATACTGGGGAGGATACATGCTGTCAGTTGCGGGGTCCTCCGGGCGAGTCAATGGCAACATTCCCGCATAGCACGTTCCTTTGCCCTTTGTAGCCCCCACACGCATGCATTCAGGCCCGCTATACTCGCCCCTTCAGACCCTACAACCAACGCACGAGCATAACGATTGGCGACAACTTGGGGTGAAACACCCTTGCTTAATCCACCTACTGTCCCACTCCTGAATTAAGAGGGGAGGGGGTAGTCCCGTCAGCATGCGATCCTCCGAAGGGCCCCCCAGCACAAGGGCCCCTTTGCAGTCTGGAGCTCAGCGCCAACATCACTCATGACTGGTGCTTAGCATGGTCTTACGATTAAGGTCGTCTTTGCAGCTCCATTCATGCGTAATGTACGTTAGCACAGGTAACACGCTTTATTGGGTCAGCATGCGTATATGTGGATTTGGCATCCTTAGAGAAATACGCAACTGATAAACATGCATGACGACAATTGAAAACCCGGGGAGGCGTACAACTCAATTCCTGGGTACCCAACTGTCCATTCAAGATAGCAACTAACAAGCCACAAAACCGTGAGCTTTGCATCGTGCCTTTGGTACGTGGGTCGGTTCCCTTTACTATTACCCAGCGCCCCAATCAGCTGTACTACACAAACTGCGCAGCAAGGACAGCACCATACATGACGAGGTGCGTGGTCTCGTTCTCCTTCTTGCCGTCTGTGAAGTACCAGTGAACACGGAGTGAAGGGTAGTTGTCCATACCGCAGTCACCCGCGTGCACCATGTGCCCACTTAGGAAAATGATGTCACCGGCTTCTAGCTCCACCCTCACCGCCTTGAACTTGCGCATTTTGACCCATGCCTCCAGATCCGCCGGTGTAATACCACCTTCGTCCACAAGCTTCTCCAGCTGCCAATAGCGTTCCAACACACGGTTGCTCTCTGGGTACAACAGGAGCCCCATCTTCTGCACCGCAGCTATTGCTACACCGCCCTTCTGCTCCATCTTCAAGTCGGTGTGATTGCCTTGGCGGCGCACAGGCTCCTGCTGTTCCGATTGGGTGTTCAGGAGGAGGTACGGGGGATGGAGCTCGAGGTCGTCGTCGCCCATAGCGGCTACAGCCTCGTTAATCTTGGGCTCCACCACACCTGGTTCAACGCAAGGCGAATTAAGAGGAATGGTGTTAGCACTACACACAGCGAGATTCATGTAGCATGCATTTTTCATTCGCAAGCCACTTCTTGCTTCAGGGGCTGGCTGGAGAGCAAGGACAGGCGAGATGACAAGACAGACATTCGACGCCTTAATTATTGTCACGAGTGTTCTTGCTTCAGGGGCTGGCTGGAGAGCAAGGACAGGCGAGATGACAAGACAGACATTCGACGCCTTAATTATTGTCACGAGTTACGCCCATGCATGCTATCGCATGCATTTTCTTACCCCGGAAGTCAGCCAGGACGTCCGCATGATCTGGGTCTTCGGGGTTAATGAGGCACTGCCGCCGCTGCTTAGAGCCGAATGTGGACCTCAGGTAGCCAGTTGGCTTTCCGTTACGGCGCTCCTGCACAAACCTCCCGTTCCTCTTTGGCGGAATGCTCTCGAAGATGGGTAAAGATGCCCCCCCGTGTTGCAACGCCCGCTGGACTGCCGCAGGAGTGACTGTATCCCTGATTCCTGGGTCGTGAAGGATGGCAACGCCCGACTCGTTAATAGCTTCCGGGATGTCGGAGGGGGAGTCGACAGTGAAGACCGCTTTGCTGATGGTTGGGATCTGTGTGATGTTAACATCGAAGCAGGGTTGGGGCAAGGGGGGGGGGGGGGAGGAGCCGGAGGAATCTACATGAATGTATGGATTTTGTTCATGGCGAGCGCCATAATACTAAACAGCAAATAACGGCTAAAAACAGGTTAATGCAATAAGTTTAGCGGTCGTAAGGCACGCAATTATCTGTCAATTAGCTGCACGATCGGCCTTTTGCCAGTCGTACCTCTTCCTCGTCATCGAGGGCCTCTCCGGCGTCAACCACGGAGCCATATGCGGATACACCACGGCGCCTAGCCTTCTTGGGCTGCTGGCGGCCACCATTGTAGCGCAATCCCCCGCCTTGGAGCGTGTGCTCGGTGCCCTGTGGGCACGAGATCGTAGGCGTGAGAGATTTGCCTCGTAAACGCGCCCGCCTTTTTAGAAAGCCTGCCTTACCGGAGAAAGCGCTTGGACAGGGCGCTTGCAGCCTCCAAGCTGCTCGGCGGCAAGAGGGGAGGCATGCGTGCATGGAATTCGGGGAGGAGGAGGAGGAGCGGAGGCAGGGGCGTGACGGCAGTGCTTGTAAATGGCAAAGTAAGCGCATGTGGGACAGGGCGGGGCACACACCAATGGTTAGGACCCTTCTTCGGCCGCGACCAGCAATAAACAAGATGCTGCACACCCACACTTCAACGTGCTACTGTCGAACTTCCGCGTGATATGGTCGAACTTCCGCGTGATATGCGCAAGGGCTGCGACATCAGAATGCTCACCTCAGGACTGGGTTTCCTGATGGGGGACCTGTGATCGGCGCCGCTGCCGTCCGGCTCGGCAGCAGGAAGTGAGGCCTGCATGCATGGAAGCGGAGTGCGAGAACGGGCGGGGGAGAGGAGCGGAGGCCGGGGCGGGTCGGCAGCATTTGTAAATGGCAAAGTGAGCACGTTTGGGGACGGGAAGGGGCGCACACGGATGGTCAGGACAGTCCTTCGGTCGGGGCAAGCAATACTCCAGATGCTGCACCGCAGAAGGAATGAGAAGGTTGCGACACCAGCATGCTCACCTCAGAGCTGTGTATCCTGCTGGGGGACCTGTGGTCGGCGCCGCTCCGTTCAGTTCCGCCGCCGCCCGGCTCGGCAGCGCGCAGCGAGACCTGCATGCATGGGAGCGGAGTGCGGGTTTGGGCGGGGGAGAGGGGCGGATGCCGTGGCGGAGGCCGGATCGGGGCGACAGCGTTTGTAGATGGCAAAGTAAGCGCGTTTGGGGACGGGGAGGGGTGCGGCGTTTTGGGGCGGGGAGGGGTGCACACGGATGGAAAGGACCGTCCTTCAGCCGCGGTCAGCGATAGACAAGATGTTGCACCGTAGAAGTTTACAATGGCTCCGACACCAGCATGCTCACCTCAGAGCTAGGTATCCTGCTGGGGGACCGGTGGTCGGCGCCGCTCCGCTCGGTTCCACTGCCGCCCGGCTCGGCAGCGCGAAGGGAAGCCTGCATGCATGGAAGCGGAGCGCGGTATTGGGCGGGGAGGGGCGGGGCCCGAGGCGGGGCGGCAGCGTTTTTAGTTGGCAAAGTAAGTGCGTTTTGGGGCGGGGAGGGACGCTCACTAATGGTAAGGACTTTCCTTCGGCCGGGGCCAGCAATTCTCAAATTATGCACCACGGAAGGGCGCAGTGGCTGCGACACCGGCATGCTCACCTCAGAGCTGGGTATCCTGCTGGGGGACCTGTGGTCGGCGCCGCACCGTTTGGTTCCGCTGCCGCCCGGCTCGGCAGCGCGAAGAGAGGCCTGCATGCATGGAAGCGGAGCGCGGGTTTGGGCGGGGGAGAGGGGCGGAGGCCGTGGCGGGGCGGCTGCGTTTGTAAATGGTAAAGTAAGCGCGTTTGGAGATGGGGAGGGGTGCACACTGATGGTTAGAACCCCCCTTCGGCCGCGGCCAGCAATCCTCAAGACGCCGCACCGAAGAAGGTTGCAATGGCTGCGACACCAGCATGCTCACCTCAGAGCTGGGGCTCCTGCTGGGGAACCTGTAATCGGCGCCGCGCCGTTCAGTTCCACTGCCGCCCGGCTCGGCATCGTGAAGGGAGGCCTGCATGCATGGAAGCTGAGTGCGGGATTGGGCGGGGGAGAGGGGCGGATGCCGTGGCGGAAGCCGAGGCGGGGCAGCAGCGTTTGTGAATGGCAAAGTAAGTGCGGTTTGGGGCGGGGAGGGGTTCACACTGATGGGTCGGACCTCATTCGGCCGCGGACAGCAATTTTCAAATTCTGCACCGCAGAAGGGTGCGAGGGCTGCGTCACCAGCATGCTCACCTCAGAGCTGGGCCTCCTGTTGGGGGACCGGTGGTCGGCGCCGCTCCGTTCAGTTCCACTGCCGCCCGGCTCGGAACCGCGAAGGGAGGCCTGCGCGCATGGAATCGCAAAACAGGATTGGGGGGGGGGGGGGGGGGGGACGGAGGCCGAGGCGGGGCAGCAGCGTTTTTAGATGGCAAAGTAAGCACGTTTGGGGACGGGGAGGGGCGCACACGGATGAACAGGACTGTCCTTTGGTCGGGGCCAGCAATAGGCAAGATGCTGTACCGAAGAAGGCTGCAGTGGCTGCGACACCGGCATGCTCACCTCAGAGCTGGGGCTCCTGTTGGGGGACCTGTGGTCGGCGCCGCTCCGTTCAGTTCCACTGCCGCCCGGCTCGGCACCGCGAAGGGAGGCCTGCATGCATGGAAGCGGAGTGCGGGATTGGGCGGGGGAGAGGGGCGGATGCCGTGGCGGAGGCCGACGCGGGGCAGCAGCGTTTGCAAATGGCAAAGTAAGCGCGTCTTGGGGCGGGGAGGGGTGCACACGGATGGTTAGGACTGTCCTTTGGTCGGGGCCAGCAATACTCAAGATGCTGCACCGCAGGAGGTTGCAATCGCTGCGACACCAGCATGCTCACCTCAGGGCTGGGGCTCCTGTTGGGGGACCTGTGGTCGGCGCCGCATCGTTCAGTTCCACTGCCGCCCGGCTCGGCACCGCGGAGAGAGACCTGCATGCATGGAAATGGTGTGCGGGATTGGGCGGGGGAGAGAGGCGGAGGCCGTGGCGGGGCGGCAGTGTTTCTAAAAGGCAAAGTAAGCGCGTTTTGGGACGGGGAGGGACGCCCACTGATGGTTAGGACCCTCCTTCGGCAACGGGCAGCAATTCACAAATTCTGCACCGCAGAAGGGTGAAAGGGTTGCGACATCAGCATGCCCACCTCAGAGCTGGGTCTCCTGCTGGGGAGTCGGTGGTCGGCGCCGCTCCGTTCAGTCCCGCCGCCGCCCGGCTCGGCAGCGCGAAGGGAGGCCTGCGTGCATGGAAGCGCAGAGCAGGATTAGGGGGGGGGGGGAGGGGCGGAGGCCGAGGCGGGGCGGCAGCGGTTTTGGTTAGCAAAGTAAGCACCTTGGGGACGGGGAGGGACGCACACGGATGGTTAGGTCTGTACTTTGGTCGGGGCCAGCAATACTCAAGATGCTGCACCGCAGAAGGATGGAAAGGTTGCGACACCAGCATGCTCACCTCAGAGATGAGTATCCAGCCGGGGGACCCGTGGTCGGCGCCGCTCCGTTCGGTTCCGCTGCCGCCCGGTTCGGCAGCGTGAAGGGAGGCCTGCATGCATGGAAGCGGGGTGCGGGAATGGGCGGGAGAGAGCGGCGGAGGCAAGGCTGCTACACCAGCGGAAGTGCATTCACCTCCAATGAGACCAGGGAGTCCTCATTGGGCTCCATATCCCATAAGCTTATATTCGCATCTTCCTGCAAGGTTTGGAGTGTCAATAGCTACAATGTCGAACAACACTAGAAACGGATTAGCTCTGGCAGAGTACATGCTCTGGCGTCTTAGCTCGAGTACAGGGCGCATACTTCCCTTCAGCATCACCCCAATTGTCAATATAGTACCCGCAGCCGCGTCGACCGTGCCATGATACATGTTTCCAGCACCCCAGTCAGTCTCAAAGGCAGCTGTAAGCGCGGTCTAAGGGGGCGTGAAAAGGGCCGTAACTAGATGCCCATGCCTACAGTGGGTGGAAGGGATAATTTGCAATGCATGCTCACCTGGAGGACTGGGCTCGTGCAGCGACTAAGATCGGCTGTACACTGCTGTGAGCTTGCTGCTGCATGCAGAATGGGCAAGGTATCATGGCCAGAAACCTGCCAAGGCACTGTTTGCGAGGAGGGTGCCGTTGCTGCTTCATGCATGATGCTGGATGCACCTTTCAAATCTTGTGCCCGATGCGCTGATGACACCGTGGGAGTGAAGCGTCTGTTCAGGACACTACTGACAACCTGAGCTGTGTTGTTGCCTGCTGCGAGCACACCCTCCAGCTCCTGAAAGCAAGCATACAGTTTCAGCATACACCCTTGTGCCAAGTGCTTTGGCTGCAACGCTTGCACAGGTATTCTTAGCTCACCTTCTTCTTCTTGAGCCAGGGCTTCTGCAACCAGAAATAGTCGCCTACAGCGCCTATCTCGTGGCCCTTAGGCCTTGTCAGCTCTACAAGGTAGCTAACAAAGAGGAGTTGAGCTGCTGGAGCACGCATCTCCTTCTCCTCCAAGTAGTTATCCACAAACACGTCACCGCCCTTGTGAAGAAACGACCTGAACGAGCTCAGAGAGCTGACTTGGGATCCTAAGAGCCCCAACAAGGAGCATTCCTGTACAGCATGAATGCTCCTTGTCGGCACCATCCGGTCAAAGCCACAACTGACACGCGCATTGCTGCAGTCCAGCACACATCTTGCCTTGTCATCCACTGTCTTAAATTTCATGTTGTATAGGGCGCTCGGGCTGGCATCGTCAGGAACATTTGACTGCCAGCCCTCGAAATGGAGCGTCGCTTCCCTCCTCTGAAGTGAGATGACAGCTACTGTGCGATATAACTCAACACAGACCAAGCTTTTTTCCCTCTTATACTGTATCAGCGTCGCCTGAGCCTTAGAAGCGGCGTTGCGAAAACGAGTAACACACGATTGGAACGATGAAGACTGAATATCCATAACTAATAAAGTTATGTAAAGTACTTCTATAGGTTGCTTGCGTATATTACAGGCCAGCGTAAGAGGGGTTCATTATTTGCCGTTAGGTTCAGAGGCAACTTGCGTGCAACTAAAGATGTAAAAAGTTAGTAGACATCTGTAATGCTTATTTGGTGGATTGCTCAAGGCGGTAGGTTGAGTTTGTACGACGTAACTCGGGTGACGCAGTACAGGACTCCATGAATGTAAAAACAAAAGGCTAGTGTATACAATAGTAGCAGGTAAACCTCGACTACAGATATTTCCTCCGTTAATGGCTTCACGTGGTATGACCAAATGCCGTGGCGCCTATGTCAGGCATGACCATTGCCTGCCACAAGTGAGCCCGCCACTTTCGTCTCTTCAAGCTTCCTTGCTGGTGTTTATGTGCAAATGACATGTTACTGAAAGTCATGCCAATCAATGTGTTGCTCTTCGTCTTGTGCCTCCTACGTTACTCCAGTTCATGTTTGACTTCGTAAATCCTATGTAAAACGCCTTGGTTTCTATGCAGGTATTCTGGTTGTTGCAAGTACAATCTCATTTCTCCGACCGGTAGTGAGGTCCGATTTGGCGTTCAGTATTCTGAACCTAACTCTGACGTGAACCATTCTCTCCTGTTGGCATACCATTACAGTCGCTGGAGTAAAAGGGCTAAACGCAACTTTCGCTTCCGAGAAGTGAGGATGCACTACCAGAAAAGCGACACTGGACGTCGTCTTTTAGGTAGACATTTTTTGACAGGTTATGCCAACCGCACAACAAGCTACGATATTTCTGCGAGTTTTGTTTCTTTGGTACCGTTAAGCCGTGAAAAAGCGAGGAGTCAATTCCTTTTACTTATACCCTTGCACTACTGCAGCCCACAACCCCAGGCATTCCGTGTATCGCGGTGTTGTCCAGCCACGGAGGGCGAAGCAACAGTCGAAACTTGCGATTCGTTTTGCTGTGACGCATCAACGGCACTTACGCATTGAGAGCCATGTCGTCAAAACCCACCCACCCCCTTTCCAGCCGCACGTGACGGCCTGGTATGTGCGCCCAACTTGTATATGAGCTTGTCGCCAACTGATCCGCTATGACGTACAAGCCACACACACGCACGCTAAAGCACCATCATCTTTCTTGACAATAATTCGGGCTGCGCAAACACCCGCAACACTTCGGAGGGGGATGGTGTAGCGTACCCGATTGGGAAAAGGGTACGGTGGGTACGATGCTACCATTCGTGTGGTAGCATCGTGCGTGAGGCACGAGTGGTCGTCCAGCCGCACGTTGCAGCCAACTCGTGTATTCTGTTCATACACGTGCGGCTGGAGGGGGGGGGGCTTCGCCCCCCCCCTAACCCCCCCCCCATTGTACGGTACATCTTCTCTGTTGCCGATAAGCCGGGCTGCGCACGTAAGTTGGGCGCTAGAAGAGGGGGGGTTTGTGTATGAGCTTGTCGCCAAGAATTTCAATATGACGTACCAGCCGCACGCACGCACGCTAAAGCACCATCGTCTCTCTTGTCACTAAGCAGGGCTGCACACGATGCATCATCGTCTCAGCCAGGCTGCGCTCGTCAGTTGGACCGTAGAATGGGGGGGGGGGGGTTAGGGGGGGGGGGGCGAAGCCCCCCCCCCCTCCAGCCGCACGTCGCAGCCTGGTGCGTGCGCCCAAGTCCTGTATGAGTTTGTCGCCAACTAATTCACTATGACGTACAAGCCGCACGCACGCACGCTAAAGCACCATAGTCTCTCTTGTCAATAAGCAGGGCTGCACACGTTGCACCATCGTCTCAGCCGGGCTGCGCACGTCAGTTGGACCGTAGAATGGGGGGGGGGTTAGGGGGGGGGCGAAGCCCCCCCCCCCAGCCGCACGTCGCAGCCTGGTGCGTGCGCCCAAGTCCTGTATGAGTTTGTCGCCAACTAATTCACTATGACGTACAAGCCGCACGCACGCACGCTAAAGCACCATCGTCTCTCTTGTCAATAAGCAGGGCTGCACACGTTGCACCATCGTCTCAGCCGGGCTGCGCACGTCAGTTGGACCGTAGAATGGGGGGGGGCTAGGGGGGGGGGCGAAGCCCCCCCCCTCCAGCCGCACGTCGCAGCCTGGTGCGTGCGCCCAAGTCCTGTATGAGTTTGTCGCCAACTAATTCACTATGACGTACAAGCCGCACGCACGCACGCTAAAGCACCATCGTCTCTCTTGTCAATAAGCAGGGCTGCACACGTTGCACCATCGTCTCAGCCGGGCTGCGCACGTCAGTTGGACCGTAGAATGGGGGGGGGCTAGGGGGGGGGCGAAGCCCCCCCCCTCCAGCCGCACGTCGCAGCCTGGTGCGTGCGCCCAAGTCCTGTATGAGTTGTCGCCAACTAATTCACTTTGACGTACAAGCCGCACGCACACACGCTAAAGCACCATCGTCTCTCTTGTCAATAAGCAGGGCTGCACACGTTGCACCATCGTCTCAGCCGGGCTGCGCACGTCAGTTGGACCGTAGAATGGGGGGGGGTTAGGGGGGGGGCGAAGCCCCCCCCTCCAGCCGCACGTCGCAGCCTGGCGCGTGCCCCCAAGTCGTGTTTGAGCATACTAACATTCCATTGTTGAGGTAAAAAGTCTTGCTGCATTACGATCCGTGGCGATTTGGCCTAATGCGCGAAAACAAAAAATGTCATTTTGCAGTCGACGGGGTTCGAACCCGGGTCGCCCGCGCCAATCGCAATTTTTTGAAGCGTTATACTCGCTATGCACGTTGCCAAAAAAATGTTACACGAACCCCCCCCCTCCTTATTGAGCCCTTTCCTACGCTAACATGGCGGGGCACGCCTGGGGGGGGGCCGTCGCAACTTGTGTGGGGCGTGGTGTAGAGTTTGGGTGGGGTTTGGGTTTAGGATGGTGTCGTCCCTTTTTTGCTTTCCTTTGCACATGTCCCGGGCTGTGTGCTCATGCATGACGCGAGGGTGTGTGTAGAGCTTGCACAATTTGCGGGGCAAGTAAAGCGGGGGTGCTTGCATGCGCGCGGGGGCTACAACGGGTGAGGGGGCAAGTAAAGCGGGGTTGCCTGCATGCGTGTGTGGGTTGCATGTGGCGAGTTGGCGAGTGATGTGGGGGCGCTTGTAGGCGTGAGTGTGTGGGTTGCATGGGGTGAGGGGCGCTTGAAGCTGGAGTGAGTGCATGTTTGTGTGGGTTGAAGGTGGCGAGGCGGCGAGAAAAGTGGGGGCGCTTGCATGCGTGCGTGTAGGGCCTACTGTGGACGAGGGGCCGAGTAAAGTGGGGGTACACGTGTGTATGTGTGGGCGGCACGGAACGAGGGGTCGTGTAATGTGCTTCCATGCGTGCGGGTCTGAGTTGGATGGGGCGATGGGGTGAGTAGCACTCCCAGAAGCCGTTTTGATTTAGTTTGCTCACAACCGTTTGATGCAGTTTGAGGTGGATTGAGTGGCCTTGAGGCAGATTGATATTGGCAGCAATGCATTGAGTGAAAAGTCACTAAATCACCGAGTCATGCTGGGTACCTTAGCATCAGAGGGCAAAGTACGCAGCCTTGTTTGAGCCCACATTGATTTGTAACCTAAATCTGGCATCAACCAAACAACATCTGTTAGAGGAAGGCACATTGTGCTAAACATGATTGTTTATCGTGTTTATCTCGCTGTCCACCAATCGTTGTGAGACAGCTACTGGTCGGTTTGAACCGCCTGCTGTACACCAGTCGGCTATTAGACAACGGGCCGGGAGATGCTTGCATGCATCCGTGCGTGCGTTGTTTGCATGGGGCGTGTAAAGCGGGGGTGCTAGCATGCATGTGGAGGCTACACGGGGTGAGGGTACGTGTAAAGTGGGAGTGCTTGCATGCGTGCGGGTCTGTGTTGCATGGGGCGAGGGGGCGAGTACTGTGGGAGTGCGTGCATGCATTCGTGCTTGGGTTACATGGGGTAAAAGGGGCGAGTAAAGCGGGGGTGATTGCATGTGTGTGGGGGCTTGAAGGGGCGATGGGGCGAGTTAAGTGGGAGGGCTGGCATTCGTGCATGTGTGGGTTGCACGGGGCGAGGGAGCGCGTGAAGTGGGAATGCATGCATGCGTATGCAGGTTGCACGGGGCAAGGGGTCAAGTATTGTGGGAGTGCTTGCATGCGTTCGTGCTTGGTTTGCATGGAGTGAGGGGGCAAGAAAAGCGGGGGTGGTTGCATTCATGTGTGGGTTTCAGGTTGTGAGGCGGCGAGTAAAGTGGCGACTCTTGAAGGTGTGCATGTATGGGTTGCATGGGGCGTGCGTGTGTGGGTTGCATGGGGCGAGGGGGCACGTGAAGCAGGATTGCGTGCGTGCATGGGTGTGCAGGTTGCATGGGGCATGGAGCGAGTAATGTGGGAGTGCTCATGCGTTCGGCTTACATGCTTGCGTGCGTGGGTTGCATGTGGCGAGGGGGCGCTTGAAGCGGGAATGTTGAGCGTGTGTGGGTTGCACCGGACGTGGGGGCGAGTACTGTGGGAGTGCTGGCTTGCATGCGTTCGTGTGTGGTTTGCATGGGGCGAGGGGGCGCGTGAAGTGGGCTTGCGCGCATGCGTGTGCAGGCTACACGGGGCAAGGGGGCGAGTAGTGTGGGAGCGCTTGCATGCGTGCGTGTGTGGGTTGCATGGGCCGAATGGCCGCTTGAAGCGGGAGTGCGTGCATGCGTGTGTGGGCCGCACAGGAAGAGGGGACGTGTACTGTGAGAGTGCTGGCATGCGCGCGTGCGTGGGTTGCATAGGGTGAAGGGGCGCGTAAAGCGGGGGTACTTGCATGCGTGTGGGGGCTACAAGGGGCGAGGGGACGTGTAATGTGGGAGTGCTTGCATGCGTGCGGGTCTGAGTAGCATGGGGCGATGGGTTGAGGAATGAGGGAGTGCTTGCATGCATGCGTGTCTGAGTTGCATGGCGCGATGGAGCGAGTAATGTGGGAGTGCTTGCATGCATGCGTGTCTGAGTTGCATGGGGCGAGGGGGTGCTTCTAGCGGGGGTGTGTGCATGCGTGTGTGGGTTGCACGGGACGAGGGGGCGAGTACTGTGAGAGTGCTGGCATGCGCGCGTGCGTGGGTTGCATGGGGTGAGTAGGCGAGTAAAGTGAGGGTGCTTGCAGGCAGGCGTGTGGGG